AAGAAAGAAAGAAAGAAAGAAAGAAAGAAAGAAAGAAGAAAAGAAAGAAAGAACGAACGAACGAACCTACCCCCAAGAACATCCTATCTGCTCTTTTCTCCCCTCCAGTCCCTCTGGGGTCCATGGAGCTGTGGAAGATCTTAGAGCTGTCATGAGCTCACTGGTGCATCACACACCCTTCTGATAACTGCCAATCACAATGCAGACCAGAGAGTAGATGGCCTAAGACACTCACATGATTGCCTTTTTCATCTGGATGCCCATGGCTGGAGTCACTTTGAACAGGTTCTGTATCAGTGAGTTGGCCGCTTCATAATTCCTGCGGGTATAGATCAGCAGCCAGTTATCCAATGGCTTCACGCTGATCAGCGGTGCGCCTCTTGTCTCTTTGGACCAGTCTGCAAACTGCGGGTTGTAATCAAACTAGAATAAAGGGCAGAGATGCTACTGTCAGCTGTGATGAAGCCACTGGTCTTGCTCAATCCGATCATGCATGTAGAACCACAGACTACCACACTTAAGTTTGAATCAAAGTGACAGATCAAAAGTCCCCAGTGGAGAGAAGACACCAGATGCATCTGGAGGACTTTTTCTACACCATACCCTTCTGAGGGCCCAGGACAAACTCTCCATCCTTCCTCTCATTATTGAAACAAGTGCCATTTTCTTCATGAAAAAGGCTCAGGCTATGGGTGGTGGCTTCATGTTTTTCATTCCAACACTCAGGAGGGAGAGGCAAGTGGTAGAAGTCAGACTGGTCTACACAGTGAGATCCTGTCAGGGGCTGGAAAGAGCTAAGCCCTTGACAGTGGTGTCCTGTGCCAACAAAGTTCAGGGAAGAGCCACTTGTGGTCCCCATCATGGCAAAAATCCAGAGTTTCCCTTCACCTGGCTGGACTCTATCTTCCAGCCCTGCCTGTGGCAGGAACGCTCGATTGCTGGCAACAGTTGAAAAGAACAGGTATTTGTAGTGTTTGATTTCATTTAAAACTATTTGAGAAATTCTATTTTTCCTTTTCCTGAAGATGAAACAAAAAGCACTCTAATATTTAGATCAACTCCTGAGAGACTCGTGGCCCACACAGAGACAAAGCCAATCTAATGGGGCTCCTTGGCAGGACCTTTGGCTCCTAAGTTATGTTGCATACCCATCCCCTGCAATGGTTTCTTTAGATAGCCCTGACTGTTCTGGAACCTGTTCTGGACCCTGTTCTGTAGACCAGGCTGGCCTTGAACTCAGAGATCCATCTGCCCTCTGCCTGCCGAGTGCTGGGATTAAGGGTGTGCACCACCACCTCTTAGCTCTTCAGTTTCTCTTTAGCAGATCTTCCCTTGTCACGAGGATTGGGCTTTGGTTCTACATGCGCTAGAGTCACAAGCTGCCTCTTACAGAATGACCCTGTCAAGTGGCTCTGGTGGTTTTCCAGAGTTGGCAGAGAACAGGACCAGGGGATGGAGAGAAGCAGCCTGGTGCATGGTGGGCTGTCCCCTGCCCCTGGAGAGACTCAGCCTGGACACCACCTTGCCAGCCTTACCGTCTTCCCACCCTGGTGGATCTTCTCAGACTGTAAGATTCTTCCGGAGAAGGACAGCAGGTTTGAGTCGAAGCTCAGACCCCAGTCACGAAGCTCCCTCTGCACGTTGTCATCCCTGTGAGTTAACAAATGGTACTCAGCAAAGCTGACCAGGCAGCAGCCAGGCTGGTGACCCACATTCAGGTGGACAGGGTGCCACTGTGGCTTGCAGCACAATTCAAGGCCACTCTAGGCCTAGAACACATGGATAAGCTTCTCTCCACCTCCCAAAGACTCCAAGTGCTCAGACGCCATGCCAGTGAATGACCCACAGTCTACACAAGCAGGGAAATGTGTGCCTGAGATTTGCTTCATCTGCCCCCTCCATGGCCTTCCCATGACAGGATTGGAAAGAACGCATGGGCATATCAGGTTTCACTTCTTGGCTTCCTGAGAAGAACTGGTATCAAGAACTCAGGACAGCCCTCCATAGTCCTCCCAACATAGAAGGCCACACTTCCTGCCTTCCAGACCCCTCTCAGACCTATAGGGAAGCCCAAAAGAGAAGCTGGAGAGCTGAGCCGGCCTACCTGTGGATGTAGTCGATGAGGCGGCCCACCTCCCTCTGCCGCTGCTCAGGGGTCAGTCGCGTGTGCACCGCTAGGTCCTTCATCACGTTGAAATCGTTGCGCATTTTATCAGTCAGACCTGTACCCAGAGCAGTGCCAGAGAAAGCCAGTCAGCAAGGCTGCATAGCCCCCAGCGGGGGTGGGCAGGGATGCGTGAAGAGAAGAGGGTAGCACTATGCACCTGTGAGGTAGCAGAGCTCTGGGATGAGCATGGCTGGGCCCGGCAATGTGCCTCCAGGGCCTCTCCTCCGCTTGGGCTGGCTCACCAGCACTGGCTGCTTCAAGTCCGTGATATCCTGGTTGTACTGCTGCTCAGGAGGAAAGGAAGGCATCCTTCGCACCAAACAGGGTGTGTGGCACACCCGTGGGTGCGGTAGATGCCTAACTGACAATGGAAGCTGGGTACCAAGCTGGGCTAGACACACGTCAAACCGTCCTGAAGGGTGGTGTGTATGCTCTTTCCAGCCACCGAGGGTGCAGGAGCAGGACGGGGCTGACCCAGCTCTCCCAGGTGGATGAGCTCTATGTAGCCAAGTCATCAGGGCTTAGCTTTGGAGACCTGACCATAGTGACAGAACAGACGTCTCAGGTTACTGTCATGGTGCTCCTAACCCCAGGGTGTGAAGGTCTTTCCTGTCATCTATAGCCCAGAAGCTGCTTATTCTGAAACCATTCTTACTTTTAATTTGGATTTAAAATATTTCCACTGAGCATAAAAGAGTGTCATCACGTAATAATCAAGTTGTAACAGTCTAGTCTTAATGCCCACCTTAGGGCAAGATGTCACCAGCCAGCATGCCATCAACGAACCTGATCCATGTCTCTGTGCCTCAATGAACTAACCATCAGAGTTAAAAAAGTTAATGTACCCTCAGACATGGTCTTCATACATCACTGAAAATGCATGGCTAGAAGGGCAGGAAGGTGGGGTCTCCCTCTCCCCATCTTATTAGAGTCCTGGCCACAGGATACGGGTAGGTAGAGCTGGAGTCCACAGGTGCTGGATGACCTTTGGCCTCCTACCACCTGCCAGCAGAAAGCTGTGCCTTACTGAGACCTCTCCGAGAGCTGGACCCAGCTGCAGCAGCCCTGGTCGAAAAGGACCAGGCAAAGCTACAGAGCTAGGGATCAGGGCAAACTGCTTGCTACCACTGGCAGGCAGTACCTGTCTGTCCCCATGATGCACTGTCAAATGCAACTATTCTGCTGGACAGAGCCACTAGGGCAGCACACGTCTGGTATGTGGGGAATTTCTCAGTGATGTAGGCAAGACTGAGCAGGGCCTGTGTGCTCCTGCACACCACCCAAGGGACAAACCTACCTTCCTGTAGTACTCCAGGAAGCTGACCTCTGAGCCATCTGCCTTCTTGAAGGTGCTCTTTGGATTCTGGTCCCAGTCGATGTCATCCACCCTGTAGGTCTTGTTGTTGTACCTGTGGAATTCGGGACAAGAGGCTCTAACTCATGTGGAGATGCATGACGGGGTGGGAGGGCAGGGGAAGGAACTGAACAATGGCTGGGAACAAGGGAATGGAAAAGGGTGAAGAGCAGGAGGCACCTGTCCTTTGTACCTGACCACAGGAAAGGCAACAATACCACACATCTGACATATCTGGCTCCCTTTTATTCACCTCTGCCTGTCTCCCTCAGCCCCACTGCTCTCTAGCCCTGGGCTCTTGAGATGAAGTCGTACTTGGTGAGGACAATTAGGCCTATAAGCTCCTTCGACACTTGTTCCTGGAACTTGTGCTCCTCTGTTTGCTGGTACAGGTTGAACATGAAGTCCAGAACGGTCTCACTGCGGAGGACCTTGTGGCTGACGTCCGTGCAGAGCATGATGTTGTTCTCATACTGAAGGATGGAGGTAGTGAAGCCAGGCCAGATCACCAACCTGCAACACAAGGTGGCTCAGGCGCAGCCCCATGCTCCACTCCCTGTGTCGGAAGCAGAATGTGCTGCGCCAGCTCACTTCCTAGTACAAGACTCTAGACAGAGCCCTTTTCCACGGCTTCACCAGCATTTGCTAAGTACACACTGAGCTGATTAAACCTATCCTTAATTTGGGCCATCTAGCCTCCTGAGCCACCATGTCTCAGCACCCCTAGCTGCTGGTGCTGAGGACTGACGCAGTGCAAAAGGTCTGTGCTGCTGGCTATGATGGGATTCCTTTGACGTTCAAGTCATCTGGCGTGACTGGGTATTGCTCAAGCCAGGTTACATGCTCCCGTAACTCTTGAGCACCAACAACAGGTGGTTTCTAGTTTACAGAACACTGCAAGGTCTGTGCAGCCCAAGGGATAGTGGAGTTTTCTACAAACCTGTGATTTGGAATATCAATCGGATCACTTGGATTGTAATAATTCCGTCCAATTTGTTGCAAATTCATGATTTTCAAGAGCCTATGAATTTAAAGTCAGAACAGTTAGCATGGCAAATCCTAGGGACTACCTGGAGCTGCATCCAGTCAGCAGGGCTGGCAAGTTGTCGCCCAGAGCCAAGCCAGTCGATTCTACACTGCCTAGGAGTTCACATTCTTAAAATGTCTAAAGGTTGGAAAAAAATATTTCAAGACATTTGAATTGTGTCGATTCCATTTTATCATGATACACCAGGATAACCCACTAGCTGCAAAAGTAGAGGTGAACAGCTGCCCAGTACTCCCCGGTAGCTTTCCCTGGAAGAAAAATGCACCAAGCAAATGCATCCCCTCAGGCCAAGTATCCCTACAGTGAGCTATCTATCCTTCCACCACTGAACCATCTACGAATCCAATAAGCCATGAATCCAAGGACTGCCTCATTTAGATGGCTCCTTCCAGGGAGGGGTCTTCTGGAGAACGTGTGTGTGTGTTACATGTGTGGGGTATGTGTCTGCCATGCTCAAATGAGGAGGCATCAGGTATCCTTGTATCCTATTCTGTCACTCTTCACACCTCACTTGCTCCCTTGAGACAGGGTCTTACAGTAAACCTGGAGCTAGGCTAGTAGCCTGCAGGCCCAGTGACTCTCCTGTCTTGCCCCACCCCCAGCACTGGGGCTACATGCAAATGCCCATGGCTGGCTTTTTGTGGGTGCTTGCATGGCCATCTCCCCAATGCCTAGAACATGTCCTAGCTAATCGCTCCTCATGTGGTTGCCACTTGCCCCAGCAGCCACCCACCCACCCATCCATCGTGGGGAAGGGGCAGCTGGGGTGCAGCTCAAACAGTATTACATCATATATAGGCATAGTGTCAGCACCACTAGGGAAGGGGTAGTATCCTGGAGGCAGATAAATTAATTTTCCTGTCAGAAACCACATTTTCAAATGACCCCCCCCCCATGCATGCACCTTCTGAAGATGATGTTGTAGAACTGTAGGCAGGTGGGTGAGGTGGGCGGCAGCTCATTGGTCAGGGTAATGGTGATCCTCACGTGCTCCCCATTCCGAGTCTGACTGAAAACTTCTGTGACCTAAAGCCAGAGAGGTGGGAACCCAGGTCTTACCTCTGTGTAGAAAAGATGTCCTGGTTCCTGGGGCCCCTGAGCGCAGACATGTGACCTGAGACTAAGAAGTCAGCTAAGTAGCTGAGAGCCCTCATATAACTCTCCACAGCCCTTCTGTCTGACCCCAAGGACACAGTGAGTCATAATGGGGCCTCCGAGAGCCCTATCTCCCGGACCAGGAGACCCTTTCTGAACTTGGCTTTAGGGTGTACACCCCCACCCCCACCAGTGGAGATATTTGAAATAACCTTGTGCTGTAGTCTCTTAGGTAAAAACAGTATTGTCCCGTCGAAAGCATGACACCTTCCAATAAGGTCCTCATGCTGGAAGAGCAACGCCGAGCGCAGCCTGCGGGCCTCCATCAGGGGGTTATAGTCGATGTGGTACTGGTACAGGGCCCACTGTGGGCGCGAGGTCAGCCGGAAGTGGTTGGTGCTTAGCTTCACGATGATACCCGAGGAGCCTGAGGGGCCGTCACACAGTCAGGCCCTGGCACGGTTATGCTCCATGAGAGCTTTCCTTCAGACCCAGCAGAGCTGAGGACAGTGGTCAGCTCTTGCCTTCAAGACAGCTGGCCCTGGGGACTAGGGCTCGGTTGCTTGGGGGAGACCATACACCCACACAACAACAACAGACAAGGGGGAGGGGCTGGAAAGGCTGCAGCTGCTGAGCAGAGCACTCTTCTTTTCCCTGAGCCAGAGAAGCGCTGCAGCCCAGTGCCAGAAAAAGTGCCCCCTAAAGAGGTGTTTCTGGGAGCCCACCTGTCTTTGACTCTTTGACGTGGTCAAGGTTCTGTCTGGTGTTCACACCAAGGTCATGGAAGTCTCGGCGACGCCCTCCTCTCTCTGCCAATGACAGCTCCTGAAACCCAGCTGAGATCTGCAGCTCTTGAGAGAGAGAGAGGAAAGCATCAGTGGTTAGAGCCAGTGGGTGTGAGGATAGCAGCTTTCCTGCAGTGGCTCAAGGGGGCAGATGCAGCCCACTCTTGTCTAGTAGTGTGACCTCATCCTTTGCAGAGCCATCTACCCTGGCTCTGGCCACTCCAACAGGCCAGGAGCCTGGGCTATGATGATGCCAGGAGCCAAGGGATGGATTTCTTGATTAGGAAATAAGGTTTTCATTTTCTAAGTATCATGGCCTTTGTGTACTCTGTAGCCTGCATGCTGTAATCATGGCTGCAGGGAGCCAGGGGTCAGGGTCCTAACTCTATAAACTGGGTGAGACTATGTCACAAATGTGACATGTGGCCTCCTGGCTTCTAGGCTCTCCTTACAACCAGCAGCAGGGGCATGTCCACACCTAGACTGGGTCAAACTGCACAGGGAACAGCACTAACACGTCAATCTGCTTCTTCTGAATATAGGATCGTGTGTATACAGCCGGGCACTTGAGAACAACAGCATGCCCAGGCCGCAGGACAACTCTAGCTTTGGGATCTGGTGGTGGTGTTCAGGGTCTTGGCTACAGTTCTTACAGCAGCACCTACTAGTGGACTTGCCAAAAACCAGTCTCCCCTCCTTCAGAGGAGAAACACACATGTGAGGAGCAATGTCCCTCAAAGATAAGCCTTCCCATGCTCCTGGCAGCCAGGCACACTTTGGCAAAGTGCCTGAGAGCTGGCAGTTGGCTGTGCTGATTCTCTGCCCAGCCCTACACAAGTGAAGACACACTAAGTCAAACCCACAGGAAGGCTGTGAGGGAATCACTACAGATGCCAAGGCAACATTCTAAAACTGGCTAATGGACACAGAGCAGGCAAACTGAAGCCACATATCTGAAGTTTCCGTGTTGCTGAGATGGCCCTGGCTAGCTGCAGTCTCTCATTCCCAGCCTGCATGGGGTGGCACACATGCCATTATGCTGCACTGTGGTGCTGGGCCCTTGCAGAAGCACCGGCACCCTGCACATGGCAGCCCCTCCCTGTACACTCCCTCCCCTACCGCTTACCTTGTGACTTGGATGTGGCTCCAGCTACCATTCCTCTCTGCCGTCCTCGGCCGACCAAGTCCCCCTCTGTGGGGGGCTGCTGAGTTCTTGGTGGGACGTACCCAGGCTGCTGACTCTGCTCACGCACAAACACAGCGGAATCCCCTTATGCCGCAGGGTGGGCACCAGAGACCTAACTAGTCCTAAACTGGTCCTAGCATTCAGAACTTAGTCATTAAGCATGTGAACATTAAAAAGGGATCTGAGCTGGGCAATGGTAATGCTACCTTTAATCCCAGCACTTGGGAGACAAAGGCAGATGAGTTCTAGGCCAGCCTGGTCTACAGAGCTAGTTCCAGGACAGCTAGGGCTGTTACAGAGAAACCCTGCCTCAAAAAATCAAAACCCAAACCAAACAAAAAACCCAAAAAAAAAAAAAGGGGGGGCATATTTGAAGCAAAAGTCACCAAAGGATTCAGTCCCTCACATCACACTAGGTCTCAGATCCTCCCAGCCCCCAGGTTACACCTGTTGCAGGTGGACCCTAGAGCTTCCTGCATGTTGGGCAAGTTCTACCACTGAGCCCTAGGACAAATCTTTTAATTCTCTGCCACTCGCCCCACTGGCTGGCTGTCAAGACACTGGTGAGCTGAAAAGGGAGGGGTACTCACCGCGGCAGCCCCAACATGCTGCACCGTCTCCTGACCGTGGGCCCTGCCGCGGGCCCTGCCACGGGCCCGTGCTCGGGCTCTGCCCGTCATTTTCTGTCAGAGAGGAAAGAACAGTGGCTAGCGCTCAATGGACCCATGCATATTCGACGAATCTGTCTCCAGTATTTTAAGGGTGCTAAAATAAGCCCAAAATTATAATATTTAAATCCTTCCTATTGAGGACTTGCCTCGTACATGAGAGTCTCTCGTCCCAACACAGCTTTCTTAGGGAAACCAGACACTGACTGGGGACTGCCCGCTGTGCTAGGTGGCAGGGCTCAGATGGAAATGTACTAATAAAACCCTTTGTTTTCAAGGCGCTAGAAGTGGCTCAGCAGCTAAGAACCTTTTCTGCTCTTGCAGTGGATATGGGCTTGGTTACCAACACAGTTACCAGCATGGCTCACAACCACCAGTTCCAGGGGATCTGATGGCCTCTTCTGGTTTCCCTAGGCACCAGACACACACACGGTACACATACACGCACACCAGGTAGGCAGGCACCTTACGCTGACATATAAATCATAATGATACATAATACTAAAACTGAGATTTTTTTTTAAAGGTTTTGATTGTGATAAGGCTTAGGGAGGATTACACTGTTGAGATGGGTTCCTTCTTTCACAGGTGGGTTCATGTGTCACAGACACCGAGTATGACCCACAATGAAGAGACACCTTCACAGCATGTTAGCAAGTGACTCCTCAGAGGGCCCTTCCTCAGACCCATGGTGCCCTCCAAACACTTCCTCAGTTCCACCCGCGTCTTGAAAGGAATATACCCAAACCAAGCCACCCCACTTCTAGTCTCTGATTCCTGTCTCACACATGCATGTCTAGCCATGGTCTGTGAGGAGAAAGCACAGAGCTGTCTCTCTCTGAATTGCTGTCTCCCCGTCTTTCTGCTGTGAGCAGCTCATCCCCCACCACAGGGAAGAAGATGAAGGTGGGGTCATCTGGACTCCAGGGCCCGAACCTTTAACAAGCCCACATGGGCCAGCTATTTCCAAAGCATGTCATACATGGCCACCTGTCAGGAGCAGCATGCTATATCTACTGTCAAGTTATCATGCTAAGCACAGACACCTACAACATGACTGTGTCAATTGCTGGGCCATGCCTTTTTCTCCATAAGAGGAGGAAGAGTCTAGCAAATACAATTCCCTTCCTGCCAACCTCGTGACTCGGGGATGTCACAATGCTCAGCTGAGGTGCTTCCCGCTCAGTGAACTAGAAGAAATCTAGCTCATCCTTTAAGGGCCAGGCCAGTGACTCTCTCTCCTTACCCTTTTCCCACCACACACAGCGGCATCTCCCTGGAACATGTGCCCCACTCCAGCTCCAACCTGGATCTCAGATTGTTCCTTTGCACTGGGTCCAGTGCTTGGCATGCTGGCAACAACTGCCTGGCGTGACATTTGAAGGATCCCAAAGTGCACCAGCAAGGGGCGCAACAGCCTACAGGAGATGTTCACCGAGCTGCCTCTGACAGGCAGTATCTACTGATGCATGCTAGTGATAACGAGCCAAGTCTCCCCCTCTACTGCCCCCACCCCTGTGGGAGCCAGTGCTGTAGGGCTGTCTGAGCAGCACCCTGAGGTTGTTCCCATAAGAACTCTGCCCTGGGCTCACCCAGTCAGCTCACGTTTTCAGTTCAGTCTCCTTCCAATCCCACAACTGTCCCAGTCTGGATTGCTGGTGTGGTCACTCCTGCAGGAAAAGTCAGAGGCCTAGAAGTGAGAAGAGCTTAAACCACAGCTTCCAGACCCCCAGCAATGCAGCTCTGACACTAGCTTAGAGACAAGACCAGCTCTAGCTAGCAAGACCAAACGCTATTGCACCTCCACGCTTAAGGCGGCAAAGATGCTAACTTCGTGGTATGCGGAATAGCCCGAAACCAAAGAAAGAGAGGAGGCTGCACGCTGTTCCTCCTCGCATCCCACTACACCACCAGAGGACCCAACAAAGGCTGGCAATAATTCAAGGTGCCAATTTTCTTCCATCCCAAAGACCTCCCTGCTTCCCCTCTACCCACTGCACCAATTTGGGGCCCTCAAATTCCTGCCTAGAGGTCTGGGTGCTCAAACCCCAGGCAGGGCTACTCACTTCAACACATCCCAGCTCTCCATGCTAAACCACCTACTCACGATTTTGTGGTTCTCTGGCTCTCAATCCTTATACTATCAGCTCCCGGAGGCATCACCTTTCCTTGAATTGATTCCTTTACCCCTCACCCCCCCAGATCTGAACCCCATAGGGAGCTGGATGTTTGGGTAAGAAAAGACTTGATCTCAAAGGCACCCAGGGAACTCAGAGCCGGACATGTAAAAGTTACCACATCTCTGGATGTGGTTAACACCGGCAGGGCTAAGTCCTGGATTCCCACGCAGAAGGACAGGTAGACAGGTGGGAAAACCAGTTATAGATCCAGATAGAGAGAGTTGGGGACTGCAGCAGGTAGGGTTACAGGCAGAAATGGTCACAGAGAGGCTGGGGCCAGGCTCAGACGCAGACACAAGGAGACATAAGGAGGAGATCCAGGAACAAGGAACAGTGAGGACAGGCAGGAGGAAGGATACAGGCCAGGCTTCGGCACTGGAAGAGGAGGAAATAAGGCCTCGAACAGTGAGAAGAGAGGACAAGGTCCAGGTGGAGAAAGAGGTACAGATGAGGCCCGACATCGTGTGAGGTAGGGACCAAGCCCAGGAACAAGTGGGGATCAGGCTTGGTCCGTGAGGCCAAGGCAGAGGTGACCACAGCTTAGTTCCAGACCCTGATAGCCGTGGTCCTGCAGCGTCCGGTCCTCTCCTGCTCCCGTGCTTGGCACGCCTAGGTCCGCCGTCCCTGAAGCCCTCACGCCGCAGGCTTCTCGCGGGCGTCTGGCTGCTACCACCACGCACTGCCGCTGCACCCGCTGTTGCAGCACCGCTGCAGCACCCGCCAACAGCCCCAACTGCCAGATTCCTCCGCCCCTGGGCACAAGTCTCGGGGAGCTGCGGCCTGAGCCTTCTGGGTTAACGGGCGAGGCAGACACGTGCTGCACCCTGATTGGCTGCTACACAGGTGGCGGTTTTGCATGGGGCGGGGCCTCGAGACCCTGCCCAAGCCCCCACCCTCTGGTCCTTGCTCCAGGTGAGAATCCTTACTCAATGGGTGAGATTGTACCCAGGTGACCTTCGGGTGTCCTGGAAAGAAAGAGTTGGACTGCCCGTTTTGGGCTGAGCCTTAAAAAAAAGAAATCACAAGTCATGCTGGGCGGTGGTGGCGCACACCTTTAATCCCAGCCCTCGGGAGGCAGAGACAGGCAGATCTCTGATTTCTGAGTTTGAGGCCAGCCTGGACTACAAGAACAAGTTTCGGGACAGGCTCCAAAGTTACACTGAGAAATCTTGTCTACGAAAACAAAACAAAACAAAAAAGAAAAAGAAAAAAAAACACAAGGCATTCCACCTTCTTAGAAATGTGTGATTTGAATTAAAGCCTAAAGGATAAGTCAATAGCTTAATTTTCCAAATTCTCAGAGGAGTAGGTGCTGAGTGTGTGCCAGCTAAGATGAGGCAGGTTCATCACTTGCTGCAGGTTATAGGTTACACAGGCCAGGTTAAGCGATCCCCACCCTCTACAGACTCAATTGAGCTGGCATGGGCAGGTGGGATCCTAAGCAGTTGCACGTGATTCATAAGGAGCTGTTCCGGGTCCAGCCTGAGCTAGGAGCTCTTGTTACTTGCCTGTTTCCTCCTGTAGTCAACACCTACCCCAATAGAAACCGGTGGGGACGATATAAAATAGATCAGGGCTCCTCCAGCTGGCTGTTCAAGCAACATGATTTGGAATATACAATAAAGATTGACCTTTTTTAAAAAAATTTTATTGATATTTATTGAGCTCTACATTTTTCTCTGCTCTCCTCCCTCTCTCCTCCCCTCTTCAACCCTCTCCCAAGGTCCCCATGCTCCCAATTTACTCAGGAGATCTTGTCTTTTTCTATTTTCTCCTTCTCATGTAGATTAGATCTATGTAAGTCTCTCTTGGTGTCCTCATTGTTGTCTAAGTTCTCTGGGATTGTGGTTTGTAGGCTGGCTTTCTTTGCTTTATGTTTAAAAACCACCCATGAGTGAGTATATGTGATAATTGTCCTTCTGGGTCTGGGTTACCTCACTCAAAATGTTTTCTAGCTCTATACGTTTTCCTGAAAAATTCAAGATGTTATTTTTTTCTGCTATGTTAGTATTTCATTATATAAATGTACCACATTTTCCTTATCCATTTTTCGATCGAGGGACATTTAGATTGTTTCCAGGTTCTGGCTATGACAAACAAAGTTGCTATGAACATGGTTGAGCACATGTCCTTGTGGCACGATTGAGCATCCTTTGGATATATACCCAAAAGTGGTATTGCTGGGTCTTGAGGAAGGATGTTTCCTAATTTTCTGAGAAATCACCACATTGACATCCAAAGGGGTTGTACCAGCTTGCACTCCCACCAGCAAGGCAAAAGTGTTCCCTTTTCCCCACAACCTCTCCAGCACAAGTTGTCAGTGTTTTTGACCTTGGCCATTCTTACAGGTGTAAGATGGAATCTCAGTTGTTTTGATTTGCATTTCTCTGATGACTAAGGATGTTGAACATTTCCTTAAGTGTCTTTCAGCCATTTTAGATCCCTCTGTTGAGAGTTCTGTTTAGGTTTGTACTTCATTTTTTTTATTGGATTATGTGTTCTTTTGGTGTCCAATTTCTTGAGTGATTTGCATGTTTTGGAGATCAGACCTCTGATGTGGGGTTAGTGAAGATCTTTTCCCATTCTGTAGGCTGTCGTTTTGTCTTGTCGACCATGTCCTTTGCTTTACAGAAGCTTTTCAGTTTCGGGAGGTCCCACTTATTGTTTCTCTCAGTGTCTGTGCTGCTGGGGTTCTATTTAGGATGTGGTTCCCTGTGCCGATGCCTTCAAGTGTACTTCCCACTTTCTTCTATAAAGGTTCAGTGTGGCTGGCTTTATGTTGAGGTCTTTGATCCATTTGGACTTGAGTTTTGTGTATGATGATAGATATGGGTCTATTTTCATTCTTCTACATGTTGACATCCAGTTATGCCAGCACCACTTGTTAAATATGCTTTTTTCCCATTTGATATTTGCTTCTTTGTCAAAAATCAGGTGTTTGAAGATGTGTGGATTGATATCCGGGTCTTCTATTTGGTTCCTTTGGTCCTCCTGTCTGTTCTTATGCCAATACCAGCCTGTTTTCAGTACTGTAGCTCTGTAGTAGAATTTGAAGTCAGGGATTGTGATACCCTGTGTTCTTTTATTGTACAGGATTGTTTGGGCTATCCTGGTTTTTTTCTTCCATATGAAGTTGAGTACAGTTCTTTCAAGGTCTTTGAAGAATTTTGCTGGAATTTTGATGGGTATTGCGTTGAATCTGTAAGACTGACCTTTCTGTAATGGCAAGCTAGTTATAGCAGGAATCTCCAACCTGAGAATCAAGATGGCTCCTGACTTGTGTTGAGTTACCTAAATCAAGAAGGTACATGGATGTCTCTTCTCTAGAGTGCTTGACATCTGTTTGGGATTTTGAATAATTTTTACTAACAAAATATGTGCATATATAACAAGGTTATCTTGGAGATAGGAGCAAATTCAAACCATGAAATTCATGTTTCAAGCTTACGTTAGACACAGCCTAGCGGTGATCTTATGCCAGGTTTTTAGTGTACCAGTACTCTGGGGCCATCCTGTGAGGCCTACTGTGGGGTTCTCCACCAGTGGCACCCCATCAGTGTCATCGGTTTTTAAATTTTGGAGCACTTCAGAATTGGGGTTTTCAGAATAGGAATATTCAACCTGTTGATGAATGGGGTTCTCTCAGGTTAGCTTAAAAGTTCTATTTACAAAGCAGATTGCTATCTTACATTTATTATTGAAAGAGTATATTGCCAGGAGCTGCCAAGTGGGTGGGGTGATGATTTCCCAGGCCAATAGTCTGCTACTAAGGGAAGGAGACAGCCTAGACTCCAGGGTTTCCCATACTAGCCTGAGTGAAAAGTCATTGGAGGAACGTCTAAAAAGCAAAGATTTCCACACATCCCAGATTCAGTAAGTCTGGTAAGGGAGAAAGGAATTTTCTCCTTAAAAGTGTTGGAATATTTTGGGTATGGCAGAGCATGCCAGTTATACCAGCATTCTGGATGCTGACGCTGGAGGAGGACCGGGGGGGGGGGGGGGGGGGAACTAACCTGGTGTGGTGTATGTAGAGAAAGAAAGGAGAAAAAAGCCAACCTCTCCCACTCTTAGAAGGTTAATGAGAAATGCCAAGACACAAGGGGCAAAGAGCCGTCTGAAGAACAGGATAGTCTCATAACAGATTTCCTTCCTTTTCTCGACATAGGGTCTCCCTATGTAACTCTGTTGACTTTGACCTCACTATGAAGGCCAGGTTGGCCTCGAACCTGCAATAATCCTCCTGCCTCTCTGTCCTCCAAATTCTGGGATTAATAGACCTGTGCAGTGTGCCCAACGCTTTCACCTTTTAAGCACTAGAAGTCATAATTTGAAAAACAGCTCAAATAACTTTTGCACAGGTGACAAGCAAGCCGTTCCACAGGCTGCCAGTAGATGGTGCAATAAAGCAAGACACTGGGATTTACAGCTCATCCAGGAACAATCTGGTCCTAACTGGACCACAGTGGAAGTGATGACAACATCCCTGTGGT